AAAACACTCCAGCTCTGAAAGTATTCGACGCAGTACCCGCCGGGGGAAGCAGAGGAAGAAGAAGACCTCCACTCCGTTGGAAGGACCAAGTGGAGAAGGACTTGGCTTCACTTGGAATATCTAATTGGCACCACGTACCGAAAAGAAGAAACGACTGGCACGCGGTTGTTAACTCGGCTATAATCGCGTAAGAGGTGACTACGCCATGTAAGAAGAAGAAGAAGTAAATAATGTACTAAGGTGAGGAGCTGTAGTTTTTTGGCTCCACGTCAGGGATACTCATGAATTTTTCCACCGAGAATGCTACGACATAAGAAAAAGAAGATAGATATTCGTACCGATGCGACCGCAAATCATTTTTTTCGGTATTCCCACATTTGTTAGAGCTAGCTGCAGAACACACAAATCGCTAATCAATAAATTAACATCCCTAAAACATCGTCGGAAAAACGCTGTTGTAAACTTGGTTAGACCCGCGTAAGGGGTTAGGTTCCTTATATTGGCAGGCTATTGCGCCATACTTAGACCTTAGTACGAGTATATAAAGTGTACGTCATACAGAACATCAACGCTTTTTGCGAACTTTGATCCTTCATCTATTCTATTAAACTGCGAAGATCCTAGATATATAAGACAAGTTCTAAATAAAGTTGAACATAAGCAGTGGCAGAAGGTGTTAGAGCGAATTCACATAACTATGAAGTGGTTCATAACGCCCCCCTTATCCAGAGAACAATGCTGTATTCGCTCCAACGATTTTCTGTATGAGATTTGACAGAGGTTCACCATAAAAGGCACCGTAAACCAAGATTGGCTTGACCAGTTAAAACAGTAATGAATGAGGAATGGTGATAATGGTAGACCTGATGCATAGAGTGGCTGTTTTCACTATCCCTTTTACATTAAGTCCCCTAATCATGCGTATGTGACATGCTTCTTAATTGCCGCTAGCTACTGTACACATAACTTTACATTGTAAATGGCACTTGGCTACTCATAGAACTATTGTTCTATTACTAATATCTATATATCTAAATTTGAGTTAAACAGTTTTGCAAATCAAACATATACTTACTCTGCGGTTATTGCCAAAACTATTTTGTCGACCCAGAGACTCTTCAGTGCTGTACTCTTTTTGAGTTTGTGATGATGATAGACTTGGAATATTTGTAGCGACTGCTACTTGCGATTTTGTGGAACTCATAATCACAGTTCATTTATTTAAATTCTGCAAGAAACCAGAAACCAGAAAATTGGAAATTACAATATTTCAATTTGCAAAAATAAAAAAAAATAAACAAACAAAATTTGCGCTTATAGCCGAATAATAATAAACATTGAAAATTACCTCAGGATAAATTATTGAATTGGTACGACTATTAAACGCATTTGACTGTTCGATATTGTTTGTGGCAATAAAAAGGAATTTTTACGTATTTTACTGTGCAACACCGTCATACCCATTGTTCTGTATACGCTTTGCAGTTGTGGCTATTTTGAACTTAGAGGATTTGGAATTTAGCTTTTTTACTTTTGGACCTCACTTTCGCTTTACTTTTAACGTACACGGATTTGTGGAAATTCTCTGGAGTTTAAAATCATTTTTCGCAATTAGTTGGCAGTGCAGCGTACACAAGTATTTTTGTTTTTGTACACAAAAGATTTGACAGAATGATTTTTTTTCTTAGAGATTTAGTTTGTGCTTTTGAGGATTGGATTGTGGTTTTATGGTTGCGTTTACGCTTTTGTTTGTTTTTTGGTTTTTTAACTGGCTGGAGTTGCTCCAAAATCACAATTTTCATAAAAACATATTCGAAAGTTTAGCGAATTCCAAAAGTGAACACAAGTCGAAAACTACTTTTCTATACAGGAATTTGGAAATCGGTTTTTGTTCTTCATGGAGTGACCAATTAGTAAAAAAGTTACCGTACAAGTCTAGTAAGTAACTGCTACACTAAATATATATGTATATATATATTTTTTATTCTTTTTATTGTGGGTAAAACTTTCGTCTGTGCTTTTTTTGTTTTTAATTTTTTTTATTCTGTTTGTGCTTAGGGTTGTGGAAAAATCTTATCACAATAGCGCATCACTACAAATTACAACAAATACATTTACGTATACAAGTTTTCGGCGTTGTAATTTCACTTTATTAAAGCTTGTTGTTGTATTATAGATTTATTCACACTTTTTTTTCACTTTCACATTTAATTTGGCTTCCTTTAAGCAGTTCTCTTATGGCACATGCACCGACACACTTTCCTTTTTGGCTTTGACTGAAGGACCCGTATGCAATCTGGAATTTCACAATGAGTAAACCATATATTTTACACTGTGTATATTCGGCGTACAACGACAACAACAAATGAGCTGGGCTGGCAGGTTGGCCATTAAACAGCGCAACAACAATTCAATCTCGCTTTCAATTTGTTGTTGCGTTCAAATCGCCACTAAAATCAAATTAATGAGCTGTTTTCACTAAACTCGCGCAGGGAAATTACAGAATATAAAAATTTAATTCAAACGCGTCCAACGTAAACATTCGCCGATGCCAAAGTGTCTATTGTAATTAAGCGTGCGCTGGCAGCAAGCGCCTTCGGGCCATACGAGAATCATTACAGGTGGAACAGTTCTCCATGACTTCTTTATTTTTTCCTTCACGATTAACGGTGTTTTCTCTGCCACACACACACATACAGAAATATTGATGATATTGAGCACGCAGCGGCCGGTTGTGGTCGTGATTTCCACGAAATCGCAAAGTGTCGCGCAAACATGCAACCAAATCGATACTTGTTGTAAGTAAATAAATTTGAAAATTGTGCGGATAAACCAAATGTTCCGAGCACATACAAAAGCTGCCTTAAGTTGTGCGCGTCTTTTGTTGATATGTGGGGGAATGTGTGGCAAGGCATACATAAATTTGAATACCTCCGTTTGCAATAAACAAAACGAAATTGAAGGAAATGGAAATCAGAATAAACATTGAGTGAGTGAGCATTTTTCTATAAGGTGTGTTGGAGCAGCATATTAAATTAAAATATAGGATTATATGGATTGGATTACTTTATGCATAATTATTTAATGTAATTCAGTTTGATATTATGAAAAATTATAATTGAAAAGTTAGATGTGTACAAAACTATATGGATATGTGTACTGAGTAATGGCAACATTGTTCAAATCGAAATAAAGTAAAATGGCTGACTTCTACGTTGCTACAAATTTTGCTCGCTACGGGTGGCAACTGAGGAAGAGTAGAGCGGAATTCGCTGTTTCTGCTACAGGGTTGCCTCAATAGGGGTTATGAACTCCTAAGAGTTCAATGTGAATTCGAAATGTGATCGAAATAATTTAAACTTTTGAATTAGAAGAAGTGAGATTGCACCGCTGCCTTTGGCAATAATCTATGCCAAATTTCGTGGAGCCAAATGAAAAGCTTTCTACAGGAGAACTTTATTCCGATCGTTTAGTTATAATAAAATAAAATGGCATTTATGAGATAGCTGACGTATATACCATAAATTTGTGAGAGAAAAATCATGGTAACTTTATGAAAAATGAGTGCCGGGCGAGATTAAAATTGCCCGCAAATTATTGTCAGAAATCAATGAAAACGGTAGGATTTCGAATTCATCATTGAAAATAAATTCAGCGTATTATTCGCATCTGGCCTGTAGTGACATTTTCTCACGACTGAATGAGAATGATCACTGGAACAAAATTCTCCGAGAAAGAGGCTGGCAAAAGGTAATTATACTGCAAAATGGCATGGAAAAGTTACGAAACCTTGTTGCACTTCAGCTGAATAAGGTAAAATCGAGCTTGAAAAATGTAATTTTTTATAAGGGTACGAAGTTTTCAAACTCTCAATTGTCTATATACATATGTAAATACGTATTTCATATTCAACTAGAACATTAAATGAGTTCTGATTTCTGCAAATTGTGGCACACGAAAAAACTATAAAACTTACATTATTCTTGCATTTCTTTTAAGATTTTGTTAATATTGACTATAGCGAATTTCTAATTGTAATTTTGTCAACTGTTAACTTCGATTGCATCTTTCACAAATTCACCAATTATAACCAATAAGTCAAGCAATCTCAATATATTCCAGGTACTCATTCCATCCACAGTACTATTTATAAGTTCTTAACTTTAGACGGGTTATTTAGGCAACCGACATAGTTTGGTAATGTGGGCTGCATTAATTTATTAATATTTATTAAACACACTTTAAAGTGCTTTCCCAATATTTGTACAATCTAGTTGGTGGCCGAATTATGGATTTCTTAGAAATAGTCAGATAGTAGATAAAAATGCTTAATACAAATTAGTAACAAATGCCCTTTAAACCGTACTAATACACATGGAATAGCAATCTAGTCATCAAGGAAACATTTTTTGATATGATGTACATATGTATGTATGTATATAAAAGTGTATGTAATGTATGGCCCGCTTAGCAATGCCATAAAAGACGATTGTTGTTAATAGTTCAATAATTTGGTCAAACAATTCATTCAATATTAATGAAAACGCTACATTTCACATTTCTGTGGCATTGAGTGAAATGACCTACAACAATAATGACAACAATGAAGACGCGTGTGAAATATACGAACGCCAAAACGTGCCAATTCACGGGGAAATACCCATAAACACCTGAATATGCCAAAGAAAGATACACAGGTACATACATACACAAACGTACATATATATATATATTATGTCCCGCTAAAAGTTTTCGAATTTGTGTGTCTCATGTGCTGAACACAATGCTCGCGACAGACTGCAGCAGTACGACAGTGAAATGAAAATGGAGTTGTGAATCCTTCCACATGAACAGTTGTGAGAAGGCAGCAACATAACAATGGCCGGCATGTACACAAGACAACTTAGCTGTCCATTTTGCATGTACACAATTTCCATACTAATACCTTGCACTTCAATGAAATTTTCATATTTTGTTCAAAGTGAAATGTTTTATGCAAAAAATAAGTAAATAGGTAAATTTATTTGTTTTAAATTATCAATTATTATTACAAATGATGCAACAGAGCTATTTTCTGCTTTTATTTGTAAAACAACGTCAGGTTTGTTAGAGCTTTGAGTAATTTTACATTTTGCATATTAGTGGCATCACCACTCTTCCTCATCTCTCTAGTGTCTACTCTACTGTCGGCCTGCAGTCGACTACACGTGCAGCTGTCAAAATAGGTCTGTCCATAGGAACATGTGTATTTTAATATTTGACAGATGTCGTTTGCAGTCTGTCGCGAGCATTGTGTTGAACTATGAATGAGATTGTAAATGCTACCTATTTACACGAACACAAGTCATACATACTTATAGGAAAATGTTTTTATTATACACAGTATCTGTAAATAAATAAGTGCATTTGTATGTACATATACGCTATATACGCTTGTCACACGCACACATACATACATATGGAGCATACATTAGATGGTTTACAAAAGCAAAATATACAATACTAACAGTACAAGCCAACTTATTGGCAATATAAACAACAACATCATAAATAACAAGCCAACGACACTGATCAGCAACAACAGCTGCCAGCAAGCGGAAATAGTGAGAGCAACGAGCAATGGATGCTTCGGGCTATATTCGAAATACGCACACACATACACATGCTTACATGTAAACATTTTCCACAAACACACATACATACACATATCGTATATGCCCTCATACATCATCAGCAGTAAAATAAAAAAGGTAAAGTTTGAGAAATTTGGGGCAAAAATGTTGTACACGAGAGTGGCGACACTCTTCGTTGCTGTCGATGTTGTTGTTTTGGGCACACGAAGAAAAATAGCAACATTTACAAAAGAGCTTGCGTATTGCGGGTTTCGCTGAAGAGCGCCAAAGAGAGAGTGTGCTTACGAAAGCACGACAAGAAATTGGAATGGAAAGACGGAAATATGAAATAATGTGGAAGCTAAATATACATATGTACATATGTTGAAGTGTACATAAATCTGTATTTACATATGTGTATACAATTCATATCATATATAATTAGTTTATACTAATTTATTAACTTTAATGTTGTACGCCGACACACTTACTTGAAGGATTAGTAATCTCCTTCGAAAGAATAGAAAAGCATTTTCTGAATGCGAATAGGAATTACAGAAATTTAAAAAACTCTGCGGGTTTTGTATAGATTTGTATTCACCTCGTAACTTTGATT